GAGAGAGAGAGAGAGAGAGAGAGAGATTAAATGGAATAGATACGAGATCAGAGATTTAATTTTATTGTAAAAAAATCGTGAGAAGGAAAGATGTAAAAAAAGAAAGAGGAGCAATTGATTAGCGGATTTCCGTTTTAGAAAGGAAAATTATGATTTTATTTATTGAATATTTCCTTCTTAATTCAATTTTTTTTAGAAAACGAACGAGCGATAATCCGATAATGCAGTTTATTATTATTATCGATGAAATAAGTATACGTTTTGGATAATCGAATCGAAAAAAGTAAATTTCGTTGACGTTTCTTTAAATCATCGAGTAGAAAAAACTATGGCCTACAAAGAGTTCAGGGTTAAACAAACGTATTACGCATGCGGTGAAACTCTACTTCAACGTTGCAATTTTCTCTCTTGAAATATGATTTATCCTTCGCATTTCTTCCTTTTGTTTGCTTCTTTTTTTTCTAATGATTACTCGAGAATCAATTACCAATTAAGACAAGAGAGTCTGAATTCTCAGGCAATGATTGTCAATTGATTAATATTAATCGCAAGAATTTTCAAATTCCGATTTGGGGAACGAGAATCATTGTCGACCGGCAAGTCTCTAACGCTGCTCTCTATTTTCATATGAAAAGAGAATAAGGGAAGAGAAACCGTGGCTGGCTAAAATTGTCGAAAGTTGACTTCGCGCCAACTTCGCGGGGAATATCTTGGCTCATATTTCGTGGAACACAGCTGATGGAAACTTGGAATCTTGCACGAAATATCTTCAAATTATTCCTCTTCTTAAATTACGAATTTCCTTTTGTTTCGAAAATTTAAATATAAACTATAAGAAAATCGATTACTTTATCATACATCCAAGTTCGAACAAATATATTTAAAAAATAAATAAATTCATTGCATCCGAGTTAAAACACGCGTTTCTGTCTTCGTAGAGATCGAGCGTGGGGGTATATTAATCCCGCGTGAAAGGATTTTCGTTTCAGGGAATATGCAGTGGATCCGTAGGCGGTCCGGAAATTGCACGCTATTATCGTCATTGGCCAGTTTTCCACGTTTCTGCAACTTTCACCACGCGTGGCCACGTGACGACGTTGGAACGAGCTCTGAACGTGCGTGCCGCTCGTGCCGTGACAACGATGGATTTTTCTTCTAACGCGCGGGGAAATCGTTTCGTTTCGATTACCCGAGATACCCTTTTCCCGTATGATTCCGTTCATCGCGATCGCATCATCCGCGCAATCTGAAAAATTGGCCAACCATCGAGACAAAACGTTTCGTTTTGCAATAACAAAGTTGTTTTTCAATTCCAATCACCGAATTCTGTCGTCGAATTGTGTATGAATTTCTAATTGTCGCAGGATCGACGAGATGTTTTGTATTCGTTTCTACAGGAATAAGATATATAATATATGATGTATAATAACTATTTCGAAACAATTATTTCGAATTTAAAGAGTGTTAGAGGTAGTTTCGAGAACTTTTTGTTTTCGAGCAAACTCGAATTTATATTTTCGCGCAAATATAATCTTATCTTTGTATGAATAATTTTCTACGCAAATATCGTACGAGATACACAACGTATAACAAATTACTCGAAATCGAAAGTGAAGATCGGGTTTACTTGGAGAAAGAAATTCGAAATATGAATTCGTTCGAAGGATTATTTCATCCAGGTATTTCATTCATCGGTTCATTCATTCATTCATTCATTTTTTTCTTTTTTTCTCTCTTTCCCAACAACGGCGTTCTCTCGAGAAATCGAGTGAAACCGCGTTCGATTTATCCGCGCTCGATCCACCACGGCTAC